GAAACACGACTCAATTGCTAAAGTTACGCGATCACTTGCCATCCTCGCGCCGATCTGCCAACTCGTGATACCTTAGAGCCATTAACGTGTTATCTCATAACTCAACATCTGACTCGGGCCCTCCTGCATTAGTCAGTGTTCCCAATGACCTACCAATGCATTCAAGAAGTAAGCACCGTGGAAAGACAGGCTACTTTACATCACAAAAATGACTATTGTTATTTGTGATGCCTATGTTAGCACAGCAAAAAACTTAATGGTACAAAGTTATAGTGCATTCTTCAATATGCATCACACTACCATAATTGTAAGAAAGAGCATGAGCAAACATCTGAGAACAAGCCAGGACGAGTGTGTGTATATATATGTGTGTGTGTGTGTGTGTGTGTCCTTCCCTTATTTGATCCTCATTATTTTCAAAATACATTTTTCTCTATCTTATTTTCAACCACACATTCTTCAATAAAATAATATTTCACGTAAACCCAAAACTTTTCCTTATTTTTTCATCCCACATTCTTCAATAAAATAATATTTCACATAAACCCAAAACGCATCGGAATTGATTTCGTAAACAAGCTAAGCACTCTGGATACATGGCATTCTACAATAAGTGGTCCTATTGTAGTGTGTCACGTCACCCAATGCGTGGGAGATTGTATATGTATATATGAGTTACAAGTTATAAGTAAAGAGGCAACAAATATCATGATTGATCTCAACAATTTGGCCAGCTTTACATGAATACCATGATGATACTATGTAAAGCAATCACTTTTAGCAATGAATTTGACCTTTTTGAACGATAGGACCCAATTCATGAATACCATTTACGTCCTATAGAAATAAGACTAGAGGTTTAAATTTTATTACCATATAATATATAGATAAACACCGAAGAAAAGAGATAACTCACTTGGAGAGCCAGACGAGACCGCTCATCATGGATGTGCCACGACACATCCCCACCTTTTGACGTGATGCCTTCATATGTTCCTCAATATGAGCAAGATCCTTATCTCTGCATCTAGCATTCACGACCAAGTATATGCGATCATCTATCACCATGGTGATCACTAAATCATCAATAGCCCCTCCATTCTCATTAGTGAAGACTGTCAAAGTCCTAGAACCAGGTGCAAGACCGGCAACATCAGCAACCACCAGCTTTTCAAGAAAATGAATACAATCCTTTCCTTTGAGGCTTTGACCACACATATGAGTAACGTCAAATAGACTACCAGGTTTCCTGCAATTTAATGTAGAGTCCATAATTGAGTCCTTGTATTGGATTGGCATGCTCCAACTAGCAAATGGAACCATCTCCCCCCCATTAGCAACATGGAAATCATAAAGAGTTGTCTTCTTGAGCTCAGCTTCTGATGCAAAGTATCGACGAACTATAGTTTTCTTATCCTGGGCCAGACGGCGAGTTATCGATTGACCAAGTTGCCACAACCCACAACTCCTTATTTTCGCAAATATCTGATCAAAATAATATTTGAATTATTAGTTATAAAGCTAAAGGAGGACTGGAATCAAGTTTTGATGGCGAGTAGAATCAAAACCTCTTTGAATGTAAAAGAGTGTATTTGAATTATTTTTTTTGTTTCCAGTTTCAGATAATCAAAATCAAATCTCTTTCTTGGATTCAGGTTAGAAGTATCATCAACACACATAAATTCACAAATCGCAAATAACAAATTAAATATGCCAATTCAATTATTGTAATCCCATATCTCAATTTGTATGTTCCATTTGTTTCAGAAAAACAGATATTTCCTACCTAGAAAAACATTGATGATAGACATACTGATAATCAGAAGAGATACAGTCAACAAGAAATTCAGAAAGCTTACTATTTAAAACACTAAAAGGGATTCTTATTTTTCTTGAAAATGGCTATTTTTCTCGAAGAAATGTTATCTGAATATACCTTTGGCTCAATACATGCGAGTGTCACAAAGGACCCAATCCTCATCGAGTGGTGCTACGATTTTCCATCACCCAATTCCTGTCTGCTTGTAGGGATTGGTATGGGAGCTGGACTTGGTAATGATATTTTTGTTGTCTATTTTAGTCCTTTTCCAATGTATATTGGTGTAAATCAAGTTGAACTTGTTCTTTTTTATTTGATGCGTGGTGAGTTAGTTTGAATTATTCCGGCAAGTGTAGGTGTTAAGTAGGTCGAATTGTTTGTTGGCTCGACTGGCGCCCAAGATGAGCAGCAAGTTTCTTGTGTTGGTTCTCGAGCTAAACATGCGTCGACTTGTGTGCGAGCTAGGTCGCCAATATAAGTTTTCTTCTAAATCCTCGAATTTCTTGGATCTTCGAAAAGATAACTTCATGTTTCAATATGAATAATGATATTGACTGTGAATCATTCAAATGATAATTCCTTGCTTAAGAATTTTATCTATCATTCTTAATTACTCCGTAAAAGAAAGGACATCTTACGTTCTAGAACCGATAATCAACTTTCAACTAGCCTAAACTCATCCGTCCCTCGGGACCAACAAAGGGTGCATTTTCAATAAGAAAAAAATAAAATTACACAAGCAATCTCTACCGCGCCGAAACAAGCCTTCCGAGTTGTGGTCATAATCGCGATTCCGATAACCGTAACCAAAGTTATAGTCAAATTATCGAAACACGACTCAATTACCAAAGTTATGTGATCACTTGCCATCCTTTCGCCAATCTACTAACTCGTGATACTTTAGAGCCAGTAAAGTGTTATCTGACAACTCAACATCTGACTCGGACCTCCTACATCATACAGTCAACGATTAATTTAACCATACATTTTATATGAACCACTACTTTCAACTTCACATTTTATCAACTTTTATCAAAATTTATTACAAATCTGATTTTAATTCCTACCAAATAGGAGCTAAACAAAATACAATTATTTTATCGTAAAATAATATTTACATATCATGGTAAACAAGGAAATAGTTTTGAATTCAAACATCAGAATCGGATCAAGTTTGTCTAGTTCCTCGTAAGTTCGAACATGATCATGAACTCGCTAAAAAGAAAGTTCATCAGAAGGCTTCTCCACGTTACCTACTCATGAGGATACTAACTTAACCAATATAAGCTTATATTCACCTAGTGCATTTATTCAAAATCATCATTTCGACATCACAAATTAATTAAATAAATTATAAAAATAAATAAATAATAGAAAATATGTCTCACGCATTTTTCCGATAGAACCATCTTCAATAATTCTTTTCACATGTTATCATTTGTTTTTTAATTTATACTCTACCAGTTTCAAAAACGTGTTTAGCGTTTTAATAGAACTAATAGAAAAAAGTTTAAGAGTTTGTTTTGCTTTATGACAAGGATCACAACAATTATTAAAAGATGTAATGGAAAGTAAATTTAAATCACGAAGAAGAGAGAGCCTGTCAAATGATAAATGTCCAAGGCGTTGGTGCCAAAGGAGAAGCCGATAGTCATTGGTGGTGCTGGAAGCAGCTATGGAGACTTTGATTGCCCGAAAGTAATAGAGTCCATCTCGCAATTCTCTCATTCCAATCAGCTTCCTCGTGGCTAAGTCCTGTAACACACAAAAGGAGGGAAAAAATGAGTAACACGGTTTAATGTTTTGGTATAAATATAAGGTTGCAAGTAAATGAAGGTTCGAGGTGACAAGAGGGTTAAGAAGGACATCTCCATAAGATTTTGCGGCATAAATGATCCACCCGGAATTTTAATTGGAGAAAAGTGTGATATGGTTTTAGGGGAAGCAAGCACTTTTTCGATGTACGTCATATGATCAGAAGCACATGAGTCAAAACCCATTCAATCGCACAATTGGACAGAGAGGTCATCTTACCCGCAAAATTGGTCATGAAATCGTGTTGTTTATCCAGATTTAACATAGTTATGAGTTGAGCATATTGCTCGTTCATCAACCCATTAATTGGTATAGCATTGTTACCCTTATTAGTTGCCACACGTTATGACTCATTGGCCATCTTAGATCTGGATGGCTTCTTTCTTTTATCCCACCATTCTGGATAGCCATGTAGTTCAAAAAAAGTGTCCCAAGTGTGTCTGGTCTTCTTGCAAAAGTCTCAAAATTCCTTCTTTTCTGTGGATTGACGGCTGGGTTCTATTGGTATTTGTGCTGAACGTTGCTTCCTCGACAGAGGGTAATCTGGATGATGTCACTAACTGTTGGCACTCCTCTTGTGTTATAAGTGCATAAGTACGTGATAAGGAATGTAGGGGGTCTGTGTTTAAGATTTGAGATCAAACGGTATTGTATTTTTTCATTCAAACCCATCAGAAATTGGTGCACCTTTTCTTTCTCCCTCTCTACAGCGAGCGCCTTTGCAGAGCCACAGGTGCATGGTGGAATTTGAGATTATGTGCTGAGTTCATCCCAAATCCTCTTCAGTTTTATATAGTACACTGAGATGGTCATTACTTATTGCAAAGTATTCACCGTCTCAGTCTTTAACTGATGAACATGGGGAGCATTCCCTTGTGAAAAACGTTCTTCAAGATCGTTCCACATTTTATGCGCCGTTATGAAGTACGTCATACTATCATGAAGAGTAGAATGAATAGAATTAAAAATCCACGAAATTACCATAGAATTGCATTTGATCCAGGCAGGTTCATCTGGCGAACTGGCATTGGGCATTTGACAGATCCATCTACAAAGCCGAACTTGCTTTTGGCTTGAAGTGCATTGGTCATTGCCATACCCCATGTGGGGTAATTTTCTTCCCTGAGCAAGCAGGTCACCAAAGTTGTACATGGATTGTCAGAGGCATGGAGGATGTAAGGTGATGAAACATCACAGCTGGATTGGTTGTTGTTTAATTGGTTGATGTTGGAGTTATTGCTTAAAGCATTGGAAGCCACGGGAAAGGGGCTCTCTTTGGCCATGGAAAAGTGGTCATAGGGTTCTACTACTTTGATACCATGATAAATAAGGAGGCAGTAAAGACTCAATTTTATTATGACCAAACAGTGGAAATATATTTGAAGAGTCTACAACAATACCGTGAATAAAAGATTACAAATTGATATTGGAATGCTAAAATAGAAAACTGAATAAAGATGACATAGATAAATATGGAAAGGAAAATATGCTGAGATTTGGTTCCATATTCTCGATCTATCATTCATTATATATTTTAATCATGATCATGTCACACACAAACTTTCCCGTCAAGTGATCTCTCCACTATCTGTCTCAGTACATCATCAGTCTGCTAAAGATTAAATGTCCATACAAGTTTTGTACACACAATGATATATAACGACGGTGATAAAGATATACCTGAATTGCTTTACTTAATTGCTTTTGTTTAAATTCTTTAAAGCCAGTTGTTTCAAGTCTCGCGAGCCAATCCCAGTATTTTAGTTCTCGCGAGAAGTCCTTTTTTATGTCATTAAGGATCTCATTGTGCATATCTTCTGAATTAGTTAAGTTTGTTGCTTCTAGTATCTGAATGAACTACGTTCTGAGGCTGAAACTAGTAGGTAGAGCTTCAATTGCACTATTATAAACAGTACGAAGAACATTTAAACCATGTTCCCTGAGCAAGTCCACCTTCCCCTCAGACTCACCATCTTGGACACCATATGTGACGTCGGGCAGAATTGTGATTATTCTGCAAGCTGGTTCTACCAACAAATTCACAGGGAAGAACACAAGATTGACTCCAAAAATACAGAGAAAAACGTCTCTAAAGTTAAAAAACATTATTATATCACACAATAATCAAAATAAGTCCACAAGCCGGACTTTATAGCAACAATCTAAATTTTACCAAAAATTGCAAAATTTCAAAAATCACGCCAAACGAAAANTCAAAAATCACGTCAAACGAAAATACGGAATAAAATAAGTAGTCTGCGAAAAATCTAGCTCAAATCGAGTTAGCAATCATCTCCTAATATACAATCGAAATATTACAAAAAATAGCAAAATTTAACTAAAAATAGTAATTTGGAAGGAAAAACAGCAAAATTTGAGGTTGAAAAAGGCACACACCTAGCGAAACTCGGTGGCCACAACGTGTGCATCTAAACAAGCTTTCTAGATTCTGGTCATAATCGCGATTCTGATAACCGTAACCAAACTTATGGCCAAATTACCAAAACAGACTCAATTATCAAAGTTACGTGATCACTTGCCATCCTTGCGCCAGTCTGCTAACTCGTGATACTTTAGAGTCATTAACGTGTTATCTGACAACTCAACATCTGACTTGGACTCTCCTACATCAATATGTCTTATTATCATCTTTCCTCTCATCAATGGGTAAATAATTGGTTGTTCTCATCTCTACACTGTTCTTCATCAGCTTCATGAGCAGCCTTAGTCAGGGTTCTTTCATCCTCCCCTAAAGCAACCTGAAAGGTTGGCACAATGATGCAATACAATCTGTTGACTCATCCTCCCCTAAAGCAACCTGAAAGGTTGGCACTATGATATAATACAACCTCCTGACTGGGATGATTGACCAGTTGACTTATTCTTTGATTATTGAATTGGTGCAAAGTCGTGTTTAATTAGAAAAGTTGTGTTTCTCCCTTTTATTTGAAATGGACGCTTTTGATGTCACCAAGTGTCATCTCCAAGACCGTTGGATGGAGACCTTTGGGTGACTCATATAAAAGGCCTCCTAGGGTTGGAACTGTGCACACTCTCTCTGATTTTTTTGATCTACGCCGTTCGAGCTCTTGACTCTCTTTCTCTCTGAAAATCAAAACTCTCTTTTGATTTTGTGGTTTCTCTCAAATGTTGTAATCTTGAGTGATTTCTAGTTTGAGATGAATGCGATGTTCTTATGTGAACAACTGTTCTTGGGTGAAGGCTGTTTTACTGTGATCTTTTATGAGTTTTGTCTGAGTGTCTAGATCTGTTCATTTTACCCTGGTTGTGTTCCATTCTGAATGGTGGTTGTTTATCAGTGACTGAGGCACTAGTGTAAATTGAGT